ACGCGGACACGTTACTGCCGTTAACTTTCGCAACTCCGCCTTCAGTCAGAGGTTCTCTCGCCGATACGGAGTAAAAAATGACATTCAGTCGTGAGCCATCGGTGTAACCAAAAGGTGCGGCGGCGAGACACTTACTTATCTCTCGAGCGTAAACGTTTACAAAGGGCACGCGAGATACGGGATGTGCAAGGTTACTCGATTCCTCCCGGACAAACCCGTTCGTGAACCCGAACCTATTCAATTCTCGCCGTTCTCGTGGCTATTATTCTTTTGTACGTCGAAGAAAAAAAAAAGATTCTATTTTCGCAAGAAGATAAGTCTCTCCCCGCCGTAGTTTTCCACTTGTCCACAAATGTTTCGGTCGCTCGACTCGCACCGTACCTTTAATTCGATGATCAAATATTATTGCTATCGACATGGTCGCTCGAATATGTACGCGTCGCCAGTGTCAAACAAACAAACGGCGATAAAGACGCTTACGCGCATGTTTTCCGTGATAATAAATTCGTGCGCACGCGCGCGCGGCACTTTATAGCGCGCACGAAAACGCGAAGGAGAGAAAGAGAGAGATCTCGTTTGATCTTCGCAGCGCCTAGTATCTCGAAAAGAATACGACTCTTCGCGTATAAAAAAAAGGGAGATAACGGACGATAAGAGCTTCTTCCGTTTACGATCTCTCGGAGCGCAGTTGAACGGAGAGTTCGAGACGCGAGGGGGGAGAGGAGGGGGGCGAGAAGTGGGTTGGTGGCTTGGCGAAAGCTGCTGAGATCGCGATTTTAACGGTACATATAGGCTTCGCTAAAGGATCGATATACATGACGCATCTGGACAAAGTTTTGTAAATCATGAAATCGCGGATCGTCAATCTCTCTCCGGAATGTGTATATGCGAATGGATGTGAAAACGACACGTCGCGGCGCGTGTCGCGTAAATTAATTCGCGACGCCGCGCGACGCGATAGCCACCTCCATCGATGCCCGTTATCTTCATTATCGCGTGTTTTCAGATTTCCAAATCGATTGCTACCCTGCGCCGGCGTTTCTTCCTGGCTTTTATGCAAACGCGTCTTTTTTTTTTGTTGCAATCACGCAACACAGGCGCACGCTATCGCATGCGTCGCGCGCACACACGCACATATTACAGCGTGTATAGCGACTATAGGCTTCTATAGTCGTTCTTCGTATCTCGTCTCGTCTCGTCTTTGCCATGTTGTTTTCGTCGAGGGGGCAGACCTCGTGGATCTCGACTCCCCCGACTACGTCATAAGCGTCTATTTATACTCCGACGCAGCGTATAAAGGTATACAGGGTGCTCCGCGCGATTCGCATTTACAGCTTGCACTTTGGCGCTCGTAAATGACCGGCGGACGTGCGCCACGCTAAGAAATACGATGTACGTGTTAATGTGGGAAGCGGAAAATTGCTGAAATTGCGTAAAAAAAACCGTGGACAGAGGGAGAAGGCTGCAGGAAACGTGTATTATCCTGAAATCTTTTTCGGTATTTTTAACAGCCGCGCATGGGACCGGAGTAGGAAGAGGGCCGGGGAACAAAGTTTGTGGTATATGGATGAATTTTATGATGAACGATAAATAAGCAGATAAATCCGTAAAGTAAAGGGATCCATAAAGCGAGCGAAATGATGACAGCGGAAATTTAACTTGGAAATGAATTTATGGGAAACTTTCCCGCGCGACAGGCGCCACTGCGTATACGCGTTTCTTCGTGAATGAACTCGGCACGGAGTATCCGGATCTCTTCGTCCGCCGTACCGCTTCGCGACATGTGTATACATCTTACCTACACTGGCACCGTCGACGGTATACGCCAACCCAGACGGAATTTCCGTCGCCACGTTCGTGATCTACTGCGGAATATCTGATGGCGTTTACGAACGAAATTGTATCGAATACTCAGGAGGAAAATTCGCGACGAGGAAATACCCGAAAGGAAACGCGACGACGCGCCAATATCGATTCGGGCGGTTCGCGTTTTGAGGCGGCAGCGCGGCGTCCGGGGGACAAAGGATCCGCCGTGAGCAACCCAACGACGAGTACGCGTGCACGCGAAGGAGTGTCCGAGTAGATTGCCCGACCGTTTTTCCCGGTCAGGACAATTTCTGTTAACGGGGGAACGGAATAAGTACGATCCGGTGAGTGCATTAACGCGACTGCCATATTCGGCTCCTCCGACATTGTATAGCGTCAAGCTCTGTCATCACTCCCGGGCCTGCAATCTGCGTGAATTACGCGCCACGCAGATTATACAGGCGTGTGCGCGCGCGCGGAGAGACACGACGGACATTTACGCCGGCATACATATATGGCAGTCACCGGACCGAGCGAAAGCTCATTTTCGCTCGATCCGCCGCACGGGGCGACTCTCCGTGAGATAATTTGCAAATAATTTAGAAAGCTGCGCTTTAGCTCCATTCTCGTGTCGACGACTGGAATGTTTTCTGCACTTCTTGCTTTCTTCTTTTTTCTTTTTTTTCTGATTGCGGAGCGCGATCCGTTCTAGGCGCGTTCTCCTTGCCTAGGCGCTTCCTTATAGTCGGAAACGGTGCAAAACCTCTACCGATGCACGGCACGCTCTGACATTCTCCTAACATCATTCACGTTTAACAACCGCGAAAGAAAGAAGTCTCTGCTGCGATATATCTATCCGTTAATGGCCGAAGCGCCGGTGCAGTTTATCGCCTCCTCTCCGCGGAAAGATCTTTTGTTCTACTTAGGCCATTAACCGTAAAGAACGGTCGCAAGTCATAATTAAACAAAACTAACGGTGCATCATGTAAAAGTGCAGAGTAAAATGGACAATGTGTATCGCGAAGGCGTGCGCGATGCACAGCTTGAGTTTACTGTTAATTATGGGAGCTCTTAATTATGAGAAAGATAAATGTGGTCGTGAAAAAAGAGAGGGTCGTTGACGCGCGAGAATGCGTTTTTCATCGTTTAAAATGGTTTGAGTCAGTGTCATTACTGTACGATCAATTCTTACACACATCCACGTGAATATCTAAAGGGATTAGCAAAAAGAAATCGCAATATTAAATGGCATACTCGTATTTTCAGACGCCGCCCGTCCGGTTAGAGTCGAAGAAATGTCGCATTTTAATTGCAAAACTTCACGCAGAACGATTATTATCGTGTGTCAATACAGTGTATCGCGAACTCTCGTCCCGGCAGGCCGAGAGTTCGCGATACATTGTATCGACAATAAAAATCGCTAATCCGCCGATAAACGCATTTGAATCGGGGCCAACTATTTATAATTCCGTTGGGATGCTTCTAGCTGAGTTATAGCCGCGCACGACATTGTATGCTCGCGCGCGATCGATCACACTCGTATACACATACGTATACACATACGTATATGCCGATGTAACGCCGCACAAAACTTGAAATACAATTTTTTTCCTCCATTCGCTCGAATCGCCAATTCGATCCATTATTTGCGGCACATCGTAATATTTTATTAAAGTACTCGAGTAATTGAATCTGTTTTGCACAGTAAATTGGTAATTACAGCGCGTGTTGTGACGTAATATTTACGCAATGCAAATATCGAGGGCCTCGCAAATGAGCTCGCAACGACAATAACAATAATAAGGATAATAACAGGATATTTAATTGCCGCTCGTTAATTATGCCATTTCCATCGAATCGAAATCGTTAATTATCTCTTTCGATTTTTCTCACCGTCCGCTCCTTCTCTGCCTCTCGAATTCAAATTGCGTAAGTGTATTACACGCACCGTTTATACCCAGAATTACCGAGAATCACAAAATGTATTATTACGCGGGCAGGCAAGCGAATGCGAATGCGACATCGAAAGGTTACCAAATAATCGATACTCGAAATGCGAAATCTGAAAAACCCTGCGGGTTTTGAAAGGAGCGTGAAGAAGCGGGTTGTGGTGTAAAAGCCATCTATCTTTAGAAATTTTATTTTGGGCTTCTCCTTCGCGCTCATAATGGCGATCGGCCGCGAAAACGGGCACGGCCGACACAGTTTCCGCCGCCGTGCGTTTCCTCGCGTGCGTCTCGGGGAGGAAAAGCGTGCAGTATATACGCGCGTGCAAAGCCATGAAATTATGCGGTGAAACCGATCGATTTTTCAGACAATCGAACGGATGTGAATTACAATTTCAAAATCGTCGTTAAAATGCATGAGCTTTCGCGACGACAACGACGACGACGACGACGCTAGCACGAGAGCACTGCTGATCTGGAAAAAAAAGAAGGACAAGGGACACAAAATATTTTCACATTTAAAATTCATCCAAATTTAAAAACGTTCACTCACAAAGAAATTATAAAAAGAGACAATTATTATATGTTTGTGACACATATTATTACACGAAATAAACACGTATTATGTATTTTCATGAAGATGGTATTGTTTATGTTTTTCGAGCTAACAGCAGAAACCGCGCGTAATATATATTTTCGTCCGGCTTGTTTGTTGTCGTTACGAGATATCGATAATCGCGAGCGGCCGCTCGTACGATTTAATCAAATTGCGACAGAGTTGTTTTCAATTAGCATTATTCGAGACGGTCGCTGATAATCAAAGTCGAAAGATCGCGCCAAAGATTTACGCTCTGGTCGAAATTTAAATAGTAGCCGTCCTTCGTTCGCTCCTCAGCGTCTCGCGGCCATAAGCGGCGCGAATTCTTGCCGATCGATTTCTTTTCTATGTCAGCCCGCGAAGTCCCGCGCGCGATTACAGGTTTTTTCCATCGCTGAAAATATAATGCGCGTCAATGTAATCTTTCGCGGGAGATCGGCTGCTAATCGTGTGAGAAACCCGTGTAAGGTGTATATTAATGTATTCGTACGTATCCTCCGCGATAACGAATGAATACCCGAATAGATTTGCGTCGTAATTTCAATACGCGACGTGCAAATTATCCGTCTCTGGGTCAATACGCTTTTATTAAGTTACTCGAGAGGCGAAATTAGCGAGAGATATAGTCAAGGTTGAATTATTGTTTGCAGGATAGCCCGGCGGAGCACCACTCATCCTTGACTGAGACGCAGTATTGCCGCGGGTGAGTTCTTTTTTTGTATTGATTCTTCACCGGCGATGCGTGTGTTTTGTGACGTAACGAATATCGTATACGTGTGTATGTACATACGTAGTCACAGTCCATCTTCGCGTTTTTACTTTCTTTGTGCTTTTAAAGTGTGCACGAAAGCAGGTTTTGCGAGAAAATTTAGAGATCTGTTTGCTCAAAAATACTGCATAAAATCCCTGTAAATCACGAAATACTTTGCACACAGCGCTTTAAATGAGAAGTTTTAGAAAAATACACGTAATGTTCATTAACGTTCTGATTGAGCAGCGTACGGCTCTCCCCAACTCGTTGTCTGCAGATTAAAGTTTTATATTTAAATGCGACTTAAAATACACATGTGACATAACGCGAGACGGATCATTTATTTTGACATAAAATATTCGTTATTACGAGACCGCGGGTAATGTGTGACATTGCAAGAAAGGATTTCATTGATGTGGTAGAATAAGCCGCCGCGCTACGAACGTTACATAAATATATCAAATTTAACAGAAAGCGGGAGGTATAAATAACAGCTGCAGAAACTCTCGTACACTCTCGTTACGTTATACGATTCGTCGTTGTAGCGCTTTGTACAACAATATAAATAATAGTACGGCGCGCGCGGAATTATCACGAGAGCTCGCCACGTGCGGGCCCCGGTACCCGCGTTCGCCACGTGCGGCCATTACACGAGGTACTCGTTGATCACGTTGCGTCGCGCGACATCGATGCAGCCTCGATGGGGAAAAACGGAGGAGAGAAATTTTCCGACCGGGAATCGAATCGCGCGCGACGCCCGTCGAGCACAGTGGTTGTCAGCCTCTGTAAATAGACGGGGAATTTCTCGTCGCGGCGAGTGACGCGGGTAAACACGCGGTGTTAAGGTCGTTTCGGCAAATAATCTCGTAGGCTAACGCCTCGGCGATGAGCGCGATAATATAATACTTACCGCGCGAGTGACGGTCGTAAACGGACGGTAGATAGCGTCTCGAGATTATGCTTGTGGCCCCCCGATTCCCAGTTTTCGAGGACCTGCGAAGCGATTTGCTTTCTCGATGATCGCGCGAATAAATCTTGATCGTGTAATCGCACGAGGAAATCCAAGGAGCGACACCGCCAGCGGCGAGATTTCGGTTAGGGATAACAGCCGCAATCTTTTCGTACGACGAACGACAGCCTTGAACTGCAAAGTATCGTCAAACATATCGTATAGGTATCCCCATTTACGCATCGAAATTTTTTCCTGGGTAAAAATTGTACGAAAGAACGGTGTGTGTGTGTGTGTATGTGTGCCCCTAAGATTTCCCGCGGCATTGCGCCGCGTGACGGTGAAACCCACGAAATTGCGGGGAACCCGGACAGAATCCTGATCCCCGACGCGAAGCGGCGAAACGAGAATGCTCGTTTCGAGCGAGAGGAGCACTCGGGGTCTGATTCCCACCCTCTCTCTGTTGTTCTTTCCCCGTTCCTCCCGTCCGCTCGCTATCGCTCGCTTGCTCACTCGCTCGAGGAATCGGGCGGAGAAAAACGTTTCTACGAACGAATCTTTGGCCCTCGAGGCGCAGCGCATTTTTTCGAGATAGACGCTACTCTCCTTCGAGCCGCGATCGACAGAAGCAATCTAGATTTTGAAAGATTCGTTTAGACTTGATTTTTGTCTTGTGTTCAAAAATTTATGTTAGAAAAAAAATTTTTTTTTAAATTATCCAGTCATCGTACACGATGGATTAAAAGCGATTGGTGAAAATCTAAAACCGTTCTTCTTAATAAACCATTAATCCCGATTATATTCCTACCGCCCATCGGCAAGCGCGATCGATGCCGCGTTGAATAATTCCGCGCTCGACCCGCTTGTCGTTCCTGTCCGGCGTTACCAACGATCGACCGTACCTCGTCGTCGTCCTCCTCACGAGTTTTTCTTTCGCGAAAACGACTTCGGCCTCCTTCCGCCATCACGATGCGATTGAAACGACAAGACGGCGAAGGAATAGGGGCCGTGGGAAAAGCGGTAAAACGCTTCGGTAGCGCCCGGCCGCGAGCTCGCGGAACCTTTTGCTCCAAGTTCGTCGACCGCCACGATGCTGCACTCAACGATCGCGCTGTTTTTCTCGCGTCTTTCTTTCCCTCATTACTTCGGGCAAATCGCCGGGATGGTTTCCGGGCGCGACGTGAAGCGACCACGAGAAAGAGAGAGAGAGAGAGAGAGAGAGAGAGAGAGAGAGAAAGGACGCGCGTTAAAATGCAAACAATTCGTAACGCTTTATTTTGCGCAACGTTTTAAAAGTTGGCTACGTCATCGGGAGTCATGCGATGCAACAATTTAATTTACCCCACGAAGAACACCTCGCTGATAAATAGACTGTCACAGCGTTAGCGATTCTCCCCAAGCCGTATCGCGTCACAGCATTCTTATTGACCGTGCACGTCGTCGACTTTGTTTACAAGTAAAGCTGCGAACAACAAATTGACGGTATAGTCGTTTTTCTCGCGCGTCAATAGGCAGTCTGTCGCGTCGTTATTGTTTTTTTTTTATTTTGAGCAGTTTATATAAAAATAAATTCTCGGCGGGCACTGAAACTGCGACGGCGCGGCGCGACGGAGGCCTGTCCGCCATAAAATAAACACGTGACGCAAATGAGGCGCGGGAAGGGTTCGCAATAGGTCACGGGCTCACGTGGGGTGTGAATGGCGAATTATTAATAATAAAAATTGATTGCTCCGAACGAGAGCTTATTCCAGCCAATCTCGGCGGATGACATAATCGAATCCTCGAAACGCTAATCGAACGATCTCGCGGTGCGGGATTTTCATCCGTCGATGTCCGCACAGTTGAACGGAAATGTCGTTTCCCCTTCCTCTTCCCTATCCCTCCGTCAACAATGCGACGCATAATTTTATCTCTTTTATTATATTCAACGATATCAAATTAGATCTCTGCAAAAGGGCATTTTTTAAATGCCGGATATGCACGCACGAAATTGGATCTCGAGTATCAAAGTATTACCGTCTACGTTATGCCCGTCGTTCAATTCTTATAGCTTATCTCTAAAACTTAATATCAAACACTTATAATTATAAGTTTCGCGTGATGTTATAATGAAAAAATTTGTCTTCTTATTATAAAAAATTCCCTTCTCACCAAACTCTTTCCTCCGCCGTCGTACCACACTTCCGTTTACATAAATCATTGTGCAACCGACAGCGACTCGTAACCGACCAATAAAAAGTTTTTTTCTTACGAAGTTCTGCGGCGTATCCTGACGCGTAAGAAGTAGGTTAATTATTTTTTATCTCAAACATAGTTTCTTATCGATCGCGTGCGAGTCGTGGAAATTTTTTACGCGATCGTTTTAAGCGCCGCTGACGATGAAACACTCCTCGTTCGTCCGTTTTTATACACTCGCGTGCAGCGAAATAAATTCTTACATACGTCAATGTCTCGCGGGCGTAATGGAATCCACGTGCAACGTGTATGTCTCCGTCGAGAGATGAAAGCTCCCGCGGCTGAGCTCCGCGGTGTATATTTATATCGCGAATTTATATCCCATTGATTGCAGCGTTGCGTCGCGCGTTACGCGTCCTTTACCTGAAATATAATTCTATATTTACCACAAAAGGGCCGTTTTATATCTCCAACTCACCGTTTCACGCCCACGTCCTTTCGCGCTCGGCGTAAATCAAATATATTTCGATTTTCACATTTGAAACATATATATATATATATATATATATAGAGGGGGATCGCGTGTGACGCGCGCGAAGAAGAAAAAGTTATTGTCTGTTTCGCGACGGTTGACACACACACGTCGCTCTCGGGCTTAGTTAAAGGCCAACGTTAAATCTTCGTATTCGTCACCTTCGCAAAGTTCGCCTCGGACGAATACGGAGCCAAGGCTGAAGCAATATAACGGCAACTGGTGCGCGCCCCGATGGAACGATGATTTGTCTCCTCTCTGGTAGCCTTAAGAGCTTCACCAGTTGGGAATCATGCGCCCTACCCGCTTATTACTTTAAATACCGCCGACGTATCACGTTGCACTTTTGCGGATTACGTTATTATGTACCGTTTGTGTCCTTCGGATAAAGGATAATTCGCGTTTGTGGCGTACGGCGCGTGCGTATAAGCTTTGTATATTTCACCTATAATTTATTACTTAGTTCTTACAATTGGACGAAATGACCATTGTCCAATTACGGAAAAAAAGGAAGAAAAAGAGAAAGATAGGATTTATTATCTCTCCGCCCCGCCCCCCCCCCCACCGTGAAAGGATTCTGTGGAATAGGCAAAAATATACATAATTTCGCTTCACAAGAAAGGGTAATTGGAAAATAGGTTCTTGCGACATTGTCGAGTACAATGTCGATCCGACTCGCTCTCGTCGCGTTATTGCAACACTTTTAATACTCCCCGAGAACGGATTATTATCACCGTTATCCATCCTGATAACGGGGCCTCGTCCTCTCGAACGGACAGTGCGGCGGTGGTTTGTTTTTATTTTTTCCTTTATTCACTCCTTCGCTTCAGGGAACGAACGCGTTCTCCTGTGTTCTCTGGCCCCTTCTAATTAGTCACGTTCTTGAAAATTTTGCAGACAGAAATTAATTTTCTTTCCGTACGAGAGAGATATTCGACGCGCGCGCGGTACACAAGACGAACGCATTCCTCGTCGCTGCATCTTCCTTGCGCTTACAGTTCTTTTCAGCACAGAGTTTCCATGAGAAAAATATTCTGCGTACCGTAAGAGTACAGAGACGCGTGACATATTATGAAAGATACAAGATAATTCGCGGAAATTGCGCTAATTGGAGAAAAACAGTATCTTTCGAGATCACTGAACTAGACTCGAATCGATTGCAGCAAGATTCGTCTTTTTTGTTTACGCATGTAAATATAGTCGAACAAAAGATGTAAATCTTGAAAAACTCTGCGAAATGTCGCTTTTGAAATTAAAAAAAATGACGTTTCTCAGATCAATAGAGGGATCGGCGCG